ACAAACTGACAGTTTCATTCACTAACGAAGGGCTTAACAGCTAAGACGTGTATGACTTAATGGACCGAAACGTCTTAACTCAACTGTTTTTCCTACTATTTTTCTACTATTTTTTCCTCTTTATATACACTTCCCTTACATTGGCACCCATCAACATGGATGCTACGAGGGCTTGACAGACCACGTGGTAAACGCATGAAAAAAAACGAGGATTCGAGACGCCAGTGAAAGAACAGTGCACGAGGCGCAGCATACGGGCTGGAAAGTAGCCGTCTGTCCAAAAAAAAGAGACTACAGCTTAATGCTTGGAACTGCCGATTCTTAACAGTACTGAGGGATAACCCAGAGAATTTTGGTAAAAAGTGCTTTTGCTGAATTACACCACGAAAATGTCCAGCTTCAAAATCATGTAGAGGGCTCAGTATCAATAAACAAATGCATCATTTATTTCAGACGCAAATTACCCTTTTATAAACATCACTGCCCAACGACCAACCAAGGAACCGAACTTTCGATAGTCCGTGTAGTGCAGAGGACAACTACGCACTGCGCTAGAGCAACTGCCGTCCAAACTCAGTGGCTTAACCATTAATCCAGAAACACTACTGCTTCCTCAGCATTTGCTACACTTGTCAATCCAGAAATAATAGCAATAAATAGCAACGCGCACCAGACTGGCCGGTGCGATCATGCGTTTTTTGCAATTCAGCCCATCGAATGATTGCCTATTAATGATTTTCATTGCTTTTTACTTTTGTCTATGCAAAAATAGTTCAAAAATTGGAAAATATTAAAAATTTCACGCACCAGCGCATGAAAACTGAATTCGAAACCTTGAAGGGTGAATATCTTCCCGTGATTACCTAGTTAATAGTTTAGCCGCCAAAATTCTCACGAGGCAGTAGGTGATACCCAACACCGAGGGGACGCTGAATTTGAATAGGCAAGGTTGAGCATGGGCAGGGGGTCATTACTCTAAAATTTCAGCCTCCTAGACTCCGTGATTCTTGACATATTAATTTACCCGTAAAAAACTTTCACGGGGCGGCACGAGTTACCCGCAGTACGGGGAAGCTGAATTTGAATGGGCAAGGGGTCATTACTGTAAAG